GTGCGGGGCGGTGGCGGCTCGCGGAGCGAGTCGCAAGTTCGTCGCGAAGCGTAGAACTGGGGTCCAGGGGCACTCCCCGGCTAGACGTGTCAGCTCGCAAAGCGAGCTAATCACGACTAGTTTAATGTACATAAAGGTCATTGAAGTTAGCGTATCTGTTCCAACATGGACCTTTAAAGTGTCCATAAGTACTTGTCTTTTGGCAGCAAAAATCTATTTCTTAAACTAACTTCTTCACCCTCTGTGCAGTTTTGTATGTGTTTTAATTATTTTCATTTTTCCGAGTTGGTGTGTTTTCATTCTCACTGATTCAATTTAGAGTAAATTCACAGCAAGTTAATGGGCGCTAAGTCGTAGAGTTAAAAATAAAAAGTAGAACATGAGAAAAATTTGGCAGTGTGAAATGCAGTTGGGCTCATTCCGGACTAAGCTGTCCAATCTTTCAGGGGGTTTTTGTTACCTTAAGTTTTGCTAACCCATTCACCACTGGCTTCATCCATTACAAGGGACATTCATTTTGGGTGCTTGAAAATTAAGTCAGGTAAATCAAAGGAATTGTTATGATAAGTTTTATTATTCAGTGTAACTTGTCTTCATCGGCGTTTTTCATGAGCAGCGCTTTTATTCTTACATTTTGGAAATTTACTATGATTACTTCAAAATTGTTATTTTTTCGTTTTTCCGGATCAGCTGAAATGCCTCCGTTTATGTTTGTTCCCAAAAGTGCTGGGTAGCCTATTCATTAATTTTAAGGTCCCTATTGTTAATTTACGGCTCTGTGATGAATTTCTCGCTTGGATAAAGTCAGTCGGAAAGGTTTTGCACCCTTGAGAAATGAATGTTTTGAAAATCAATGTCCATTGTAATAGACATAGCAGGTCAAGAGTTCTCTTATAAGCAAGAGTGATTTACAAGAGGAGGAGGGGAGGTCATCCCTTGAACTCCTCCCTCCTCCCCCCCCCTTAAAAAGATTTGTCTGAAGATTGGAAATATTTATGAAATTTTACCTATTGCTAAAAATTGTTTTTTTTTAAATTCTGAAATTGGAACTCCTCCACCTCCTATGTTTTACGTGGTCATAAAAGTTAATTGAATGCCTTTGTCTGTTATAATAGATATTCCATTTGTTGGGTTCTACTGGTCCAATTTTGATGGTAGAGGACTTAAACTTTTTAAAAAAATTAGCTCAGCTAGAGTCAGCACTTGGAAAAATTTTTAGGGTCCCCTGAAAATGTTGGCAGTGAACAGGGTAACGTAAGTAATTATTCCCTGATAATCTTATCAAATTACTTTTTTGTTTGTAGGTACCAGAACAGAAAATCAGATAGATCAACCGACAAATTCAAAGATAGCTTATCAGAAGGACTGAAAGTCGACAAGTCATCCTCTGAAGATGAAAAGTGAGTCATGTTCATTCATTATTTTTCCATTTCCATCCATTTTATGTCACCTTCCGTTTATCCTCACAGTTTCTATGATGTTTAATTTTGTGCAGAACTAACGTACAGCAGGCTTTTGATGAAAAAGTCTTTGGAAATGAAAATTTCCTCACTTTGAAGAAATTGGCAAATCTCAAGTACTGCTGTGCTAAGAAAGAACGCTGTGTGAACGTTTGAGAGTTGCCAAATTTCCTTTTATGAAATGTTTATTTTTGAGAAAAGTTATGAACATTTTTCCTTGAAATTTTCAGGAATTTGAGGCAAAATTGCGAACAAAATTATCTTAAAGAAAGGTATTCCTAAGTTTACCTGGAAATTTGTGTTTTATCAAAGAAAATTTCACAACGCCTGAAGGTTCATACGGCATTTTTCCTTAGCACGGTAGTGTAGTACACTCTGTGTTAACAGAACTTGACCAGTTAGGTTTTTAACTATTTTTTTTAGTCCCAGGAAAATTTTTAATTTAGTGTGAAAATTAAGTCTCACCACTATAGCATAAGGAAAATGCACTGAATCATATGATGATTTCCTGCCAATGGGGTAGTGGTAAGGAATGTCCACACAGTTACAGTTAAATTTTTCCTATGTCCAATTTTAGGAAAAAACAAACAAGTTCATTCAAGTACTTCTAAGGAAGAAAACGCTATTCAAAAGCAGTTAGTCAAATTGTCACAGCCATGCCAGAAGCTAAGTTGAGTACATCAGCCAATGTTGTGTCCCCTGCCTGACTACGTCATCAGAGCCAGCCAATAATTTTGTTTTAAGTGTGTCCCATTTCTGGCATTTCCAAGACTGTATATCTTTTCTGTGTAGAGTAAAAAATTCCTAAAATCTTAGTTTACTCCATACTCTCAGAAAATGAACTGCTACTGACCGATTTTTGACTGGAGATTTTTTTATGGTTTGTTGAATTCAAAACTATTCCAGTCTCATTTTTTTTTCTTTTTCAGAAATGCAACTTGGTGCGTTTCTGTGAAACTCTGTCTATTTTATTCCCTTAGCTTTAGTGACGAGGGCTAAAAATTTGTCAAATGCATGTACCCATTGCAGTTAGTTGGTAGATTTGAACAAGGAGGGGGATAGAAGTGACAGAAAAGTGAGAGAAGTTTCTTTTTTTTTTTGTAATTGAAGAAGCTGTGCCTGAAGTAGGAGGGATTTATAATCAGTTTTGTAGTTAAAAGTTACAGTTTTGCTCTATCCATGGTGTTTGCGCAACGAAAAAAAAGTAAACCTTACTTATTATGATATAATTGTATTAATTTGCGCTCTCAAGTCGCGCTTTATTGTTTCAAATTTCTTATGCTTCTAATCTATCTTTTTTTTTCTTTCAGTATTGACTTAAATATTGATTTAGAAGAAGAAAATGAAGAAGAAATTATTGAAAGAAGGAGGAAAAAAAGAGAGGAACTATTGAAAGTAAGTATGCCTCTTTCCTCTAGCTCTCGCATTAACATTAAGTATATTATCAAGCTTGTTAATCCATCAAATAACTTTTATCATTATGGGATATGATGGGTCAGTTGCGCTGGTCTCAGAAATCTGGTCTTTGATGCTTGATTTTTCTTAATTAGCTAAAAATTATAAGATCTGTCAACATTTGAAGAATCCAGAAAAAGTTGAAAGTACAACGTAGGATTGCAAGCACTGTAAAAATGTTAAAAATACATTCAACTCCTGACTTAATAGTTGCTGTTTAAGGAAGTCCCTTGAAATTTACGCAACAAGCTTCTGTACTCTTTATGCTGTGATGGAAAACTGAAAATCAACTTGATTTTTTTAAAATTTTGACTCCCTAATTTTTCAGCAGCCAGAAGGAAGTACTTTAATTTCTCTAAAGTGTTCATCCCGTATTAGGACTCCAAGACTTGATCATAGATAAACCTAAGTAATTCTTCATTAGATCTCAACAATGGAGAACTTGCACACACAAATTTTATTGCTTCATTTGAGAGTGCCTAACAAACAGGGTTTGCAGTATTTTTCATACTTTTTTCTGAAATAGGAAATTGGAGAAAAATAGTTTTAAAAGTGAGAAAATGTGCCATCTTGGGACGTCATCTCGTCACCTTCCAGGCAAAGTATCACAAGCGCCATGCGACGTTTAAAAATTTCCGCCGCCATTATATTTTTTACAGAGAAATTGTTCAACGAACCTGTCCGAAAATTACACCGAATTTTCTTTGTGCTGCCGTTAAAATTTAGTGAAATTTTCGAACAGATTCAACCAACAATTTCTCAGTAAAGAAATAAAATGGCGGCGGAAATTTTTAAACGTCGCATGGCGCTTGTGATACTTTGCCTGGGAGGTGACGATCTGGCTGCATTTTTCATTTAAACACATGTATTACTGCAGACTAGGTTATTTTGTCAAATTTCCTCCAATAATTGTTCCACTTAGAAACCAAGGATATCCTCGTGCTCAGTTTTCTCAGCAGTTTCATTTTAAACATTGAATTTACAAAATTTTAGACACCTGCAAATTCATACTACATTATGTTTCTTGCTTAGACAATTTCGGCTTTAGTTTAAAATTTGTCCAAAAAAATTGTCTTTTAGGATTCTGATCATTTTTTTTTTTGCAGCGACTAGGTGCAAACACGAGCGAAGATTCAAATCCGCCGATGAAAGCTCCGTCGCCGGCGAGACCAACCAAAGATACGGTCAAACCGGAGGAAAAACCGCTCAAAGAACCTGCGCCACTCACTGCAAGCAAAGTCCATAGCAGTAGTAAAGAGCCAAAGGAGTCGCGTAGCAAAGAACCAAGCAGTAGTAGCGAGCCAGCAGCAGTAGCAAAGCAGCAGCAGAGCAAAATTAGTAAAGAATCGAAGGGATCGAGCGGTGGCAAGGAAGCGAAAGAGTCCTCAAGCAGTAAGGAACGCAAGGATAGCGTGAATGAATCAGGGAAAGAATCTGGTCAGGATGTAGCGGAAACACCGACGAAAGTGAAACGCAAATCTCGCTTTGAGCAAGTTGATCAGGAGAAGCAGACATCTAGTTCGCAAGCAAAAGGCGAGCCAGATAAGAAGAAAAGTGATAAAAATTGGGACATGTTTGCTGAAGTTATGGATGGAGAAAGTTATAGTGTGAGTTCAATTTAAGAGACTGCCCAACAGGATGAGAGTTAAATGGCATGACGGTTGTTTTTCTCCAAAGGGAACTGAGTGGTATCTCTTATTGACAGATTTCATTGAGCTATTTATTTTGTTTATGAGTGAGCGGTTTTTTTGTTTTGTCTGAAAGTCCCATGGAAATTTCTTTTTGTCCAAGAGCAATTTTTTAATAAATCTGTACAATTTTTTTTTTTTTTTTTTGAAAGAAGAAAATAGAAACTATTGCAAGATCTGGAAGTGCCCAATAAGTAGGTGTATCTGAAGTAAATCTTCGCTCCAAATGTATTTCCTAGCCTTGCAAAGCTCTAAATACTTTTTTTTTTTATTGAAGAAAGAAACATAAAGTTGAAGTTGTCCAAATGTATTTCCTAGCTTTGCAAAGCTCTAAATACTTTTTTTTTTATTGAAGAAAGAAACCTAAAGTTGAAGTTGTTAAAAGAATGTTTCTCATTGACCCTAAGTTTATGACATCACATGAAGGCAAGACAAATTTGATGTCGTGTTTTTTCTTTAATAATATTTTGAAGCCTTTCTCTAAACAGCTTTAGTTACATGGGTACAATCAAAGGAAAAATTCGAGCCGGAATTTAATAGAAAAAGTGCATGATCAACTGATCTTTCTGTGTTTTTTTCATCTAACCAGGCACTGTCCATGAGGAATGAAAAATGGTCGTCAGGTGTCTAATTGTCCGAAAAAAGCATTGAAAAATTAGGTGATGACGCACTTTTCTTTTCTCAATTCAGATTTTAACTCTCCCTTTGGTTTCAATGCATTTTCTGAAATAATATTATGTAGTATCCCAAGATTCACATTTGTCAACATCAAACTCCACCAGTTTCTAGAATGAATGTTTGTGCTTTCGATTTGCAGAGCCCAGGTGTTGACGGGAAGAAACGAACTGGCCCAGAGAACCCTGCTCTGACCGACAACTGGGATGATGCGGAAGGCTACTATCGTGTTAGAATCGGAGAAAAACTGGACACGAGGTATATTGTCTACGGTTACACAGGACAAGGCGTCTTTTCAAACGTTGTTCGAGCCAGAGACACAGCTCGTGGGAACCAAGATGTTGCTGTCAAAATCATCCGTAACAATGAAATCATGTTAGTCAACCATCCTCTTTACAATTACTGTAGCGCTTGTATTACCCTCATGGCTTATGTGGAGAATTTTGTCAATTTCAACTTAACCTTTGTGACAGATTTAGTCCCTTCCGCAAAATTTTTCTTTGCAGGGTGACCATTGAAATTATTGGACAAATATTTGGATTTAAATGGTGCAATTCTATTTGTAGAGACTGGTAGTTGCAACAAACCAAGGAAATAAGTAATAGACTAACCAATTTAAACAGACAACAGATCCTAAAGTTAGTCGCTCATTTTCTCCCTTTGTCTGTTACAACCATCCATTTCAACCAATAGGATTGCTTTATCTTCCCTTCATCTTCTCAATCCACCGTTTTGTCTGTCAGTTTCGATAATCAGCCTGTTGTCATAGGAAAATAAGAATAAACTCTGCAATCAAATCCCCCAAGATGATGACCCCTTGCATGAAGGCTTGAAGTATATACAATTTTTCAAAGAAATTTCCTTGAATCGATGGCATCTCGGTTGGCCAACAATAAGAAACAGCATCATTTTGACAACCTTTGATGGTGCCTAAGCTCCTCTTTATCGTTATTAATTCCTGGTTATTTCAGCAATGCCAATTTTTGCAAGAGTCATTATTGACCGCCTTGGCGTAAATGCTGTTTTTATAAAAAAAAAAATGCCGAAATAATGAATGCATCGCAATAAGCTCTTCAATTATTGTCATGCCTCAAAGCCCGAATTCAAAAGCTTCTTTCAAAGCTAATTCAGCCTACTCCACCTCCCGTTTTGCTGATGTTTAACCACCTTTTACATTGTCTCTAGGGTTTTTCATTTACACTAACATGGTGACACTATGATTGCTTGTAATTTCAGGTTAAAGCTTATGCATGAGCCGTGCAATTGCAGTTAATTTCTCCGTGTGAAACTTTGCGAGAAAAAGTGAAAAGGGGGTTGATTTTGTTTAAAATCAAGCTTTCATAAAAATGTTTAAAGTTAGGCTGTCATGGGAGAGTTCACCTCAAATTTTAGTAAATTTTTGTATGCTAGCGTAAGACTGAATATATTTTCAGGGACAGCTACGTTAGACTTCACCCATTTTTCTGTCAAACCTTAAATTTTGCACGCCAACAATTGAAGTTACCCTCTCAAAATCCATAGTTTTATCAATTACTGTTAAAAATTTTACATCCAAAACATTTAGGTCAATTTAGATTGAGAATAAGGAAAAAATTTGAAAATTTCCTTCCGCAATAACTTGCCACATACAATACATTTTTTCCGATCTCAATCAATGTATCGTTGAAAGTATTTGCCATGCTCCACATTTTTGATAATACAGGAAATTTAGCAATTAAAGAAATCTTGTCAACCCAACACATGTAGGCAGACAAAATGCTTTTGAAGGAGAAAATTTGAAGAGAGGTCAGTCAAGTTAAGTCGATTATCTCTCAAGAGAATCGCATCTGAGGTAAAATGGTTCTTAATATATAGAATCGATGACTATTTATCAGTCGAATGGTACTAACCGATCGTATTTTTTAGTATTAGATCGAAATTTGCGTTGAAAATCGCAGCTGAATTCCAATCGAGGTGTTGGCAAACCTTGATCAGCCTCACACTTAGCAACCTTATCGAATATGCACCCTTCGTCTAGTCAAGTGTGGTATGTATTGGCCTGCCATCTGTCTGATTTCATCATTTTATCCTCCATTTTGCAATCAGGAAGCACAATTTCTAGCTCATCTTAAAAACAACGTATGCACTATTAATCTTCTCAGAGACATGTGTGTTTTCAAGTATGAGCCGCAAATTGTAGTTCCTAATTGCAAAATATAGTCCATTTTATCCTCCATTTTTCTTTCTCCTTTTGACTGTACAATCTAAGTTTTTAAAATTTTTCCCGGGTTGATGTAGCATTGATGATTTATTCAACATGGTGTGGAGAATAGGTAGAGTTGTGCTGTGTTCGTTTCTTTCCATGCCATGAAAATGACTCTTCGGATAGTTTTCTTGAATGGGTTTGTCTAACACAGCACAGAATTAAGTTTTGATGGTTGAACCTTGACTGAAGTGATAAGTAAGGAGCATCCCCCAAACCAAAGCTTCTTCTACCAATGCGAGCGGAGATATCACCATCTGAAAATTGGGTAGCTAGACTTTTTATCCAATATTTTTAACCCATTATTAATTAACTCCGGAAAATTGCGGTCAATGAATCCTTCCGCATTTCGTGGTTTTTTTTCCCAAGCGTCAACAATTAGTAATGTACCTCCAATAAAGTCAAGTAATAGGAGACCTAAGGAGAATGCTCAAAATTCGCAGTATTGCAGAAAGAATATCCCAAGTCCAAACAATCTCAAAATGAGTTTTCATTTTGTGAGTCAATGGATTTTTTCATATCTTAAAACACATAATTTTTATATTAAATTGATCAGAAGAAGGTTATAAAATTACCAGATTTCATTTTTAAATGTAATCATGGGCTTTTACAGACTTGAGCGCAAAATCGTAAAAGCACAAATCATTGAACTAAAGATGTTTATTTTGATCTGATGACGTATCACACATGATGTCGAATGTACATTAGCTCATTGAGTAAAAATTTCTGAGTTACTGATGACCTTAAAAGTGTTATTTTCTCTCTGAGAATTCTGTACAATCGGGGAAAGATTTTGATGACATTAGCTTCACATTATCAATTTGCTCATTAATGGCCTGGTTCACCCACGTATTTGTTTCTGTCCTTAAGTCATACTCAGATTGTCCCAACTGAAACTGAATATTGAAAGGCAGGAAAAAACTTATGAAAGGCGATCTGATGTAATTTTTAACCCATTTTTCAACTTGCTGTTTCTCAAAAATTAAGATAAAATCACTGATGCACAAAGAATTTCCCCTCCTAATTTTCCTGTGATCCTAATGTTAGTTTTCGGAACTAGTGGGCTAGAAGACAATGTATGATCCAAAGCACAATGCGATACATATTCTCTTGAAAATTTCAGAACGGAAATGAATTGCGCAACGAGAAGTATGGAAATCAACAATACAAAGTTATTCGAGTCGACAAAGCCTCCTGATGCCTGAAGCTGACTATATCAGCCAGTCGAACGGCGTTTTCCTTGCTTGGCTACATTATCAGAACCCGCCAAGAATTTCGTTGCGAATGGGTCTCAATTTTTAAAACGGGGTTTCTCTGTCATTTAGGGTTAAGAAAAAAATCCGAAAAAATCCCCAAAAGTTAAGTTCACTCTTTACTTTCAGAAAATGCAGGATGTCTAGCGACTGGGAAAGGCGGTAAATGTCGGGGAATTTTTTTTTTTTTGTTAGGGAAATTAGAGGAACGTAAGGGAATTCGCAATAATTCGGCATATCAGGGAATTTTACTTTGCAAGTGATTTTCGTGTCAGGGAAATCAAAAAACGCGATTTTTCTTTTTTGTTGAAAATTTATGATGAATCAAGTTTCAGAAAAATGTAATTGATACCAAACTTTCCATCAGAATTTCTGCTAATGTTTTCCAAATTTTAAAAATGAGGCAAAAATGTATCGCTTAAGTTTAGGCACTATACATTTTGCTCTATTTATCACATTCTATTCCTTCAACATGAAAAAAGTCTTTCTTACATCTGATCAGTTTAACTGTGTCGAAAATTTAAGAATATTTTTCTTTTTTGTTAGAGAAATGTGGGGTAATTATTTTTTCTGTCAGTTAGGGAATTTTAAATTTTTCCCGGTTTTGTGGCCGTTTTTGTCAGGAAAATCAGGGAAATGTTAGGGAATTGTCAGAGAATTATTTTCCGGAAAATTTCTAGGCACCCTGAAATGAACTTAAAAAAATATTTGGGGAATATTATTTGTTATTGCAGCAACTATGTTTTCAAATTTTTGGATCGTTTCTATTAATTTTGTTGTGGTTGTAGGTGTGAAAGTTAAATGGTGAAAACGCTCACAGTTGACTAGCCGGCCTCAGCACAGCTCCCAGTGGTAGTATGTAGCTTCTCTTCTAACCGTTCCTTCAACTCTTTATTCCACTCTTTACGTTGCATAGATAAGTGTGAATGCTTTGATACTGTTTTACATTCTTCCATCTCCTTTCCATTGTGAAATGGATCCGTAGCAAACCAGGGTCAGTGGCATAACATTTCTGCAAAATATCTGACAGTTGTTCTTGAAGTGAAATTTCATGACGCAACATAAAAGTTCATCGAAAAGCTTAAAATAACACTTCTAAAGAAAAAGCTGATTAAATTCTGACCAACCAGAGGAACTACTATTTCTTCAGCTGGGCCTCAGCCAATCAGCGAATTTGGACTCCCCGTCTGCCAACGTCATACTAGACAGTCAAAATATATCATTTCAAATGGTTCAAGATTTTGGCAACTTCAAAGTCGATTTTCTCAACTCAAGTCAAAAAAAGTCCGGAAAAATTACTGGGAACTCAACTCTTTTATTGGGTCAAGAGAATTAATTTGAAAAATAGACGCCACTGACCAGTTGCAATCAAAATGGTAAACTGTGAATCTCAAGGATTTTGAACCTGTCTGCAACAGAAAGTTAAAAAAACTGAAGAAGGAAAGAAACTTCAAAAAAAAATGACTAAAAAAATCCAAGTCATTGTTAGCTATGTTTTTTTTTTTTTTTTTTTTGAACACTTTGTATTTGTGGTAGAGTTGCTAATGATTAACTAGACTGTAGACCCCTTAAAATTTTACTCATCCCAGTCCAAAGCAGATCCTCAATCAATGCTTTAAGAATGTCGGCCTCCAAGGTGTAGTTGTTGTAGGGCTCGCTCTATGATTGGGAGGTTCTGGGTTCGATTCCCGGCCAGGTGACGGAGTTTGATGGTCTCAAACAACGGTCACCTGGGGCTGGCTTGATTAGGGACGGAGGAGGATGAGGCTATAGGAATGGAAAAGCATAGGATTACCCCTCGTGGGATACTTGAAGCGTAAAAAAAAGAAAGAAAGAAAGAAAGAAAGAATATTTATAATGGGATTTTCAATACTGCATTTCCAGTGATATATTATACTTTCCGAAAAAGCGATCTGTTCAGGAGTTATGAGTTGTTAAAGTTGCAGTTGTGAGTGCAAAATGTCCCATGTGGAAAATTTGCAATTTGCAAATGTTGCAGTATCCCAGTGTCCTTCAAAGAATTTTTCAAAATGCCGACTGTTAATTGCAATTCGGTGTTGTGATTTCCCAAAATTTTCCAATGAACTACTTAACAGAGTAAGGACTAATACACTCAGAAATTTGTCTCCTCAAAATTTCTCGCAGATAAAAAAAAATAAATAAATAAAAAACAAAGAAAAAAATTGTCAAACGAGTTCAGAGTCGACAGCGGGCTAATTTTTGCAATCGATCGACAAAGTCGTAGACAAAGAAGACAAATGGGATATGAAGGGATCCTATTGGTGGAAGCGGGTGGTTGCAAAGGACAAAAGAGGTAGACTAACTAACGGCAACCCTAAAGTCATTCTATTCTTTACCCTCTTAGTCTATGAGAACCACCCATTTCAACCTATGGGATCGCTCCACACTCCCTGTCTTCTTTGTCTATTGCTTAGTCTGGCAGATTTTACAAATTATTAGCTTAATTTTCTCTGATGTTTTATGTCTTAAATAGAAAACCAACCAACACTGAAATGTGAGCTTTTTTTGGTATATTCATTTATAATCCAGGGCCAATTCCCAAGAAGTTTTAGGGTGTTGGATAATTTCGTTCCTCGTTTAAAAGAATAAAACATCAAAGAAAATTAGGCAATGTGAAATGGACGTATTTCTGCCAAACAGAACCATGTGCATTAAGACATGAGTCCTGAGACACATGAGAATATATGAATAACAGAGCTCATGTCATAATGCACATAGTTCCATTTTCCATTTGGCAGAAATACGTTCCAATGTGGATAGGCCAACACCTGTTGAAGTTAAATCCACCCCATGAAGTTTACATTAGAATCAGCAAACTCAAACTTCCTGCTCATGAAAATGAATGTAAATCAAATAAATCATCGGAAACTAATATATTGTCGGACAAATAACGCTCCTTTTTACTCTAGAACATTGTATTTGTAAATAGTGAAAAAAATTTCATCACTCTGAAAAACTTTGTATTGTGAAGAACAATGAAATTACTTCAGTGATTTTGACATTAGTAAACTTCAGTTCTTTGGCGAACAGTAAGCGTTAGTTGGTGAACCTAGAAAATGCTGATTTTTTTACTAGTAAAACTTTGAAATTTTTTACGTTTTCATTGCGTTCTACATAAAATTTCGAAGCGGATCAAAAAAATTCTCTCTTTTTGCATTAATCTGCAAGGAGAGATGAACATCAGGCAAAGTGTGAGATTTTTATTTTCTGAGCATTAAAAATATTTTTCAGGCTTTCGTTCGTTTTGTTATGTCTTTTTTTTCCCTCTCTGTAGAATCAACAGAAGTGCAGGCCAAATACATAGCACTTCCGTCACACCCGATTACAGGCATTTTAAACTTGCGCTACTCAGCATATGGTCTGAAGATTCGAGCCTCTTTTGTCTTGGATGTTCTTAACTTTTTTCATTAATCCTGTTTACGCTGCCTTTAGGAGAAAATCGTTGTAGCCAAGACAGACTATCAGTCTGAATTCTTATAGGGATAAGCTGAATCTTGTTTGTACCCAACAGCAAGTCATTAACTTCCGATCAATTCACAATTTATCCCAATCCTTGCTCTTTGGGTGCATTTAAGCTCAGTTCCCGATCTTTCATTTTAAGGTAACAGCACCAGTACCCGGAATGGTACCAGTATCCGGAAATTCGCTCAGTTTTTCGTAAAAAATAAGCGGTAGGTACATCAGTGCAAAAACCTGATGCCCTTTTTGCCAGTATCCGGAAATTCGCTCAGTTTTTCGTAAAAAATAAGCGGTAGGTACATCAGTGCAAAAACCTGATGCCCTTTTTGCACTGATGTACCTACCGCTTATTTTTTACGAAAAACTGAGCGAATTTCCGGATACTGGTACCATTCCGGGTACTGATGCTGTTACCTTAAGCTGCTGTAACCAGGGTTGAAATTTTTCATGAAAAGTAAAATCGTCAAATTTTAGGTGAAATATTTCATGAAATTTCAGAAGATTATGAAATACATGTATTGAAAACTATTTTTTGGAATTGCTGCAAAACTAAATGAAAGGCAAATGGTTTTTGCTTTTTTGCATTTTATTGTGTGTCGCACACCCAGCCCCCGAAAATATCTTTCATTCTGCTCATATTTTTCAAAGCTTCGTTTAGTTTCATGAAATCCTTAAGGGACATTTTTAATCCCTCATATTTTTTTTCATTTCACCTAAACAACCCATGCTCTGACAGTGTGCGTAATTGTAAAAAAAAACCATAGTTAACTAACATTCTGGACGATGTTTCTGTCTGTTGGATAGGCATAAAACTGGTCTAAAGGAATTGGAGATCCTGAAACGGCTGAACGATGCTGACCCAGACGACAGGTTCCACTGCTTGCGCTTGTTCCGGCACTTCTTTCACAAGCAGCATTTGTGTCTGGTCTTTGAACCTCTCAGCATGAACTTGCGCGAGGTGCTCAAGAAATACGGCAAAGACGTCGGTCTCCACGTAAAGGCGGTGCGCTCGTACAGCCAGCAGCTTTTTTTGGCCCTGAAGCTTCTCAAGAAGGCCAACATCCTTCATGCTGATATCAAACCGGACAATATTCTTGTAAGTGAATGTGGATATCGTACACTATCAGTTTGCTTCCTAACCGAGTCTCTTGGGCCATTGTGTCTAGAACTCTTGGCCATGCTCATTTCCTGATTTCTCCTGATTTTCTTCCCAGTGTTCGAAACTCATTTTTGATTTTCATGAGCCATTGGCCCACCATACTCGATTTTTAGGGGGCCAAATTGACTTTTGGTCTCAATATCACGGCGCATTTAGTGAAAAGTTAGACGCAAGATGTTTTAGTTACAGAACTAGTAGCTGTAACATAGGGAGGAAAAAAGCTCCAAAAATCATCAAGCAGAAAAATTGGGATATTTTGGGGGAGGGGGTAGGATTTTTAGGGGTCACGTTGGCGCAGAGCCTTCATTTTTTAGGCGCCATGACCGATTTCTCAGAAATATTTGGCACTTTGGCGCCTGTGAGTTTGGAACACTGACTCCCTCGGTTTTTCTTGGGAAAAACTCTCTAATTATCTGAAGCTCCAGATATGAATATCAATTTTTTTTCATCTCCCTACCAACTCTTCTGCGCACATTCTTTTAAATTCCAGTGCGACTTCATTGAAAAATATCGATGGCCGAAATGCAAAACCACGTATCTCCATTATGGTGTATTAAAAATTCCGCTCTCAATTTATTTTTTTGAAGAGAAACAAGACAACTTTACAGCTTGAAATCTACACAGAATACTCTGCTAACAGAGAAGAAAAATCAAAGCAATTATTTTATGAAATTACGCTCACAAGTTTTCCAAAGAAAGAATAAAGCATGACAAGAAGTCTGCAACGGAGAAACGTTGTTTTGTACTTTGGCAATCAATATCAGATATTTGGTTTCTTGAGAGATTAGTAGGAAATCTGACAAAATTAGGATGTCCTTATGTCAGAAAAAATCGTGTAAAACTCAATTAAATCCAAAAGAACTACCTATATACACAGGATTTTTATACTATCTATTATTTGTTTTATTTGATGTCATTTGTCACCATCCTCAGGACAAAAGATTTTAGTCCATACACACTCAAAAAATTGAGTCATTGATACCAAAGCATAAAGGTGTGTTCTTCAGAAATTGGAACCATAGAGGTTTTCAATCAAAAACCTCAGTTTTAAGAAAAAGCTGTCAGAAATTCTAAACTGCCGTGCTCGAAGGAGGGAATTACGGGATGATAATGCGGTAAAAAATACTGCAACTCTACTTTTCGTTTTAGCATAAAAATTTAAGGAATTTCTCACAACTTATTCCTTATGAAACAATTATAAAAATGCTCAAATTCATCGTCTGATGGTACCTTTTATTACCGCCCATCGACCATATATTCAGGACGCAATTAACAAGATATGATCCAATAACTTATGAACCTGAAAACATATATTATAATTAATTAATGTCATGATAAAACAAATAAAGATGTTAAGCCAATTTGATGGAAAATTATGGGAAGGAAACAAAGTTATTTTTATTGTAAGAAAGCCTGAAATGATTAAAATTTCTATAAAAAAGTTGTGAAAGAAATAGTTGTTCGGTAAACATTAATAAGGTTCTGTGGATGCTCAAATATCACTGTCAGAGCTTGTAGAGTTAAATTTCTTACGATTCAGTCCTCATTAATTATGGAATCGTAATTTACAGGTGAACGATAGCAAACTCGTTTTGAAATTGTGCGATTTTGGTTCGGCCTCTCATGTTGCAGAAAATGAAATAACGCCTTATCTTGTCAGTCGGTTTTATCGAGCACCAGAAGTCAGTAAGTACTTTGACCTTCCCTCATTTGTTTTTTTTCCCACTCTTGATAATGTAAATGAATTTTTTATACCCTGGAACTGCTGTGAAATGTGCAGTTAAGCCCTAAATTTCCTCCAGAAGACAAGAGTGAAATCAAATTGTTTTAATTGCAGAAAAATTTAGTGACTACATCAGATGTAGTGCAATAGAAAATGTTTCCCCAAATTTCCCAGTAATCTTGAAGAATTCAGTGTCTGATCCATCTTTTTTTATTGAGGTTTTTTCAAATAGGTTAAAACTACGCATCAGCTGAAAGTGGTCCTTTTTTACAGCACTCAAAGTGTGTCTTTGTGTGAAGGACTTAAATATAATTTCTCCAAAGAGCCAGAAATAATTAAAAATTTAACTTCAGAAAATAAGACACTAAATTCAGCAACTGGCCGAAGTAAACTTGCCAAATCTAAAAATTTTCAGAAAATCAGGAAAATTTGAAAACCTGTTAAGACAAAGTAGGTCATAATTTTTCTCAAAGACAAAACATGCCAAAAAAAAATTAGAAAAATGTCCAAATGAATCAGAAAATTATCAAAAGAAAAATCAGATCGATCTAGCAGCTTCCCCAAAACTGAGAAAGCACTAAAATACATTGAAAAATTAGATAGGACTCTCTTAATTCCTGTAAAGATCCAGAAAAATCCAAAACTTACTGAAAAATTTTGAAAATTCCAAAACACAGTATCAGAAGTTAGGAATATTTGAGAACAGTCAAAGAACTGGATTTTTCTCAACTTTCTGAAGCTTTTATGAAGCCAATTAAAAGAGTTCAGAAGCTTCTAATGTTTGAGGAGAAAATAAGAATAATCATCATTTTTCTGCACTAATTTTTAGAGAACTACCCAAATTTAACGTCCAATCTGCGGCTCGATTATTGAAACCATGTCAGCCTGACAAGACAAGACATAGTCCTATCTTAACCATGAAATATATCGCAATTCGTTGTCTTATCGGGCTGCTTTAAACTTTCAATAATCCTCCCTTTGGACTTATCAGTCTGTATTTGCTGCACACCTGTTGGAACACTGGTGGTTTTTTCACTGTGTATTTGTCTTTCTTTATTTTATCAAGGACTAAGAATTGACTTTTTTCTCAGTTCTAGGTATCCCGTACGACTTTGGGGTTGATATGTGGTCTGCTGGCTGCACGATTTACGAACTGTACACGGGCAAGATCATGTTCTCTGGCAAGTCGAACAATCAGGTAACTTCCCGATTTTTTCATCGTTCAGTTTTACAGGTGATGTATCCCGGAACTTATACAGGGTGGGCCATACTTACTGTACCCGGCCTTTTTTTCGGATAATTTGATTCATACGAAGTTCAGGATCACAAGATGAGTAGGGAATCGATCCTGAAAAATCCAAATTTCATGGTCCCAAAGCCCCCTAGGCATCCCTTGGGGCGCGAAAGAGATGCCTGTACTTCAAAAGTCAAGGTTTATGTTAGGGGTCCACAAAGCGGCGTTTTTCAAAGCGAAGCAACTGCAAAGCGAAGGGGACCAAAAAAACCCTTCAAATACGCTGGATGCAATCTGCGAAATTTCGTGTCGGTCACTCCAGTGAGTCACGACTCGGCGTGCGGCGGTGGTAAATTTCATTGAACACTGGGAAATATGTTAAGAATACATCCATTAAATTTTCCCCTTTTTAAGAATAAACTTTTATTGGATGCCAGCAGGTCTAAGATTTCTTTTTTAAATTTGTCATCGGTTTTGCTTTAATTACCACGGAATGATAAAAATAAAAAATGTTTTTACTTTCTTCTATTTTCCTTTTCATTTTTTTTTATCTACTTTAATTTAAAACATAGCAATACCTACAAAATTGTGGTAAATATAATTTGAAAACCATCGATTCAAACTTTCCAAAACATTTTATTATTTTTATTCAAGAACACAAAGTAAAAAAGTCTCATAAGAGCAAATAAAATGAACATTTGTTACAAATGTTCATGCAGTTTGAGTTCAGTACAAAATACCTACTTATGAAAATTTATTTCATAAAAACCGGGACTGTTGTACATTTTTGAATTGGTTATGACTTCGGTGAACACAATTTACCAAAATTCGCGGAAATAATGATTGATTTAAATGAATGAATCCCGAAAACCACTCGCAGCCTGCGATTCTCCCATAAGCCGCCGTGTTAAAAAATGGTGCCTTGGTGGGTGGTTATATTACTTCTCTTTTTTTTTTTTTGTATATCTTGTATTTTAAAGTTGTTTTGTAACACCCACAAGTCATAATTAACTTCATAATAAATTATTTTCTATTTTTGTTGACAGATGCTCAAGTTTTTCATGGATTTGAAGGGTAAAATGCCGAATAAACTCATCCGCAAAGGCAGCTTCAAGGAGCAGCACTTTGACTCGAATTGTAACTTCCTCTACCACGAAGTGGACAAAGTCACTGAAAGGGTAAGTTGCAGTGTTTTATGCCGATATCCAATACCATCGTAAAACAACCACCATTCGGGGAGAAGTTAGATTAGAATCTCTTAGTGAGAGCACTGGATTTTCTAGTATGAGAAACTGTAACCGCTAGCCGAAATTGATACAATTCTCATCCAATAGAGGGATGCGCTTTGAAACTTACACTTTGATTGAAAACAGTTGTCACACACTAAATTTAAATTTACAACCATGTATTTTTTACCCTCTTCTCAGGGATGCACAATCTCACCATCTGCTCAACACTCTGAACATGAGGCAAATCTTGAATTGCAAGGCAAAATCATTTTCTCTGAATTTTTTTTTCAGCACTTTTAAAAAGTAAGGTAAATCATAAGGTTTGCTGTCAGGTAGAAATACAGGAAATAATCAGATTATTTTGCACTTCTGCCTTTTCCCACTGACAATCATGCATAAGGCAGTGGCAAGGAATTTTTGCAGGGTTGTATAATCGTTATTCTTGCGTAAAATTTCGTAAAAAAATCAAAAAGTTTATTGAAAAGTTTAAAAAATTATCTCTAAGGGGAACAAAAGCTAATCAAGATCTGACCACTCACTAAACAACAGTCAAGTAGATGTAGCAAGGCAATGGCTGAAGATGAGTTAAGCCAATCAGCGAATGTCGTTTCCCTAGCCGGACTACATTATCAGCGCCTGCCAATAATATCGTTTCGAATGGGTCCCATTTCTGGCAGTTTCAAAACGAAATTCCTTTGACATTTAGAGGTCGAGAAATTCTGAAAAATTCCTTAAAGTTCACTCTGTACTCTCAGAATATGAACTTAAAATGAGTGGAGAGCCCAATCTCAGCCATTAGGTTGAGATTTTCAACCTCTAAACTTTAAAAAATCTTATATTATATATATACTAAGGGCTTATGGGGCTGCTCCGCAGCCCCTTATTTTTCATGCACACCTTTCCCTTTCACATGTCCTTTTTTTATTTATTTATTTATTTTCATTTAATTTTCTGGTTTGTCTTTGAATTAGTCCTAATTTTTTCTTTGAAGTAATAAATATAATAAATTTTTTGATTTGATGAGGAAAAATTGGAAATAGGAAAAAGATGGAGCTAATCACGATTTGGGGGTAAAATTGGAAAAGAAAAAACGCGGGAAGATAAAATGGCAAAGCGTAAAAAAGCCGCGGGAAAAGAAAAATGTAAGTTGATGGCAGTTGAGTGTTGGAGGTAACTTCATTTAATGATGATTGTTGAATGAAAACAGCTGATAAAAAGACAGCAAATAGTAAAGTAAGATGCGTAGCAACAAAACTTTTCCGAAAAACAAAAAAGAAAAAACCCCTCCTTTCCCCTCATCCAATTTATGAGTTTTTAGGGATTTAAACATCGGGGACAAACCCCAGAAAATAATTTATAATTTTCCCGAAGCATTGAGTACAACACCTTTCAAATGAACCAACGCCCCTCGCAATTAGTACAGAGGTTAATTCACAATTTCATTCTATTTTTCAATTTATATATTAAGATATATATGCTTTATTTCCTTTTGATTTTGCAGGAAAAAATAGTCTCAATGAGCACGATCAATACTTCCCGTGACCTCCACACGGAGCTGGTTGGAAACCAGCACCTTCCGGAGGACCAGGCGCGGAAAGTGAACCAACTGAAAGATCTCCTGGAGAAGATTCTCATGCTCGACTCGGCTAAGAGGATCGCCATCAACCAAGCGCTCACCCACCCGTTTATAACGGAACGAATCTAGGATCCCCCCTCCCCAGCTATTTGTAATTTACCACGTAACTATTAAGATTTTGTAGATAATTTATATGTTGTTCCTCGAGGATGATTATTAATATAAAACTTTGATTTTATTTTTAATCCGTCTCGCTTATTTCACAATAGAAAACAATCCGATCAGCCCTAGACACACAGTGGAAAACGACATAACTAGGCACACAGTGAAAAATGACATAAGGGGAGTCATAAACAGTGTTGCCAGGTTCTCTACATTCAAAATCCGTATTCTCACCTGTTCTTTGTGTTGCCTTCGGCTGCTTTGTCACTCTGTGACATCACTTGTACGGACTTTTTAAGGTCGGGATGCATTTTCCCTTATACTTTTGGTCCGTATGCTGTCCACACAGGTATTGGGAAGATGTAACTGCATGCTTTGAATCACTGGTCACAAGTCCCTTATCCTAACCCACTGGCGTAGCTAGAGATCCATAATGGGGGAGGGGGGGTTTCCATTAAGAAATGTGTCCGTAAATTTACATTATTTTGTGTGCTCCCCCATGATATTCTATGTCTGCCCTTCAAAAGTAAAAACAAAGGAACAACAATTAACGAGGCTAAGGGGGGAGGGTGGGTCAAGACCTCCTGGACAACCCTGTGTCCCTGTGTGCCACTGTGCGAGAGAGACGGACGGCAGAACAGCATATTGACCTATCCAAGTTGCTCACGCAGCGCCAAGTGTCCCCTTGACGAGCCGCGGACTGCCGCATTTGATCCATGAGTGCGAGAGAGCTGGACGACAAAACAGCGTATCGACCAATCCAAGTTGAGCCTTACTCCCCATTAACGGCCGTTCTTTACCGGGCTCACGATTTAAAAGCACTCCGGTGGTTTTGGTCTTGCCGCAAAGGAATTGCTCACTCACTAGGTATCACTAGTCCAGGCAAATAAGCCAACAAAGGGGCCATAGCCTGCAAATATCCCGGGTAGCAATATTTTCACTGATTCCTATGTAATTTTTGACGCTGAATCCGAATTTCAACTTTGCGCCAAAAAATTTGGACCGGAAAGTTGCCAAATTTGGCAAAAATGGCCTAAAATTGGCCTTTTTTCCGGATTATGACCTGTAACTTGCTAAAAATTGGTCTGATGATTAAATTAGTTATTTTCAGAAATAAAGCTCGTTAAATTTCCTATAAAAAAGTTTCTATAGGTACACTTTTTATGTAACAGTAACAATGTCATACTGTAATGTGTTGGGTTATCCTTATTATTTACATCAATTCATTTCACTAAGTGTAAATTTTATCATCTTTACTTAATTTGTCCAGAAATTACTCGTCAGACGATTGAAACAGGAGACATTGGGCAAAAACCGCGAAAAACACAATTTTCGCTCATTTTTCAAAGTTCGGAGCCCGCCAGCGCTCTTGATTTTGCCTTGAGCAAAAAAGTGTTTAGGAACTTTTTTATAGGAAATTTAACGAGCTTTATTTATGAAAATAACTAATTTTATCGTCAGATCAATTTTTGGCAAGTTACAGGCCATAATCCGGAAAAAAAAGGCCGATTTTAGGCCATTTTTGCCAAATTTGGCAACTTTCCGGTCCGAATTTTTTGGTGCAAAGTTAAAATTCGGATTCAGCGTCAAATATTGCATAGGAATCAGTGAAAATTTTGCTACCCGGGATTTTTGCAAAAACCGCAAAAAAACGCGAATTTCGTTCATTTTTCTAAGTTCGGTGCCCGGCAGCGCGCTTAATCTTGCCGTGAGCAAAAAAGTGTATCAAGTAAACTTTTTCATGGGAAATTTAACGAACTTTATTTTTAAAACAACCAAATTGTTGTTAGATCAATGTTGGACGAGTCACAGGCCATAACCCGCAAGAAACCAAATTTTCGCTCATTTTTCAAAGTTCGGAGCCCACCAGCGCGCTTGATTTTGCCCTGAACAAAAAAAGGTAAAGGAACTGTTTTATAGGAAATTTAACGAGCTTTATTTCTGAAAATAACTAATTTTATCGTCAGATTAATTATTAGCAAGTTACTGGTCATAATCCGGAAAAAAAGGCCGATTTTAGGCCATTTTTGCCAAATTTGGCAACTTTCCGGTCTGAACTTTTTGGCTCAAAGTTGAAATTCGGATTCAGCGTCAAATATTGCATAGGAATTTTGAAAATTTTGCTACCCGGGATTTTTGCAGGCTCTTTTCCTTATTTGCCTGGACTATACTCCCCGTCAGTGTTCGAAACTCACAGGCACCAACGCGCCAAATGCGCCTAAAAAATGGAGGCTCTGCGCCATCGTGGCCCCTAAAAATTGCCCCCCCCCCCAAAAAAAAAAAAAAAAATCATAGTTTTTCTGTTTGGTGACTTTTCGAAATTTCCCCCGAGTAACAGCTACTAGTTCTGTAACTAAAACATCCTGGGTCTAACTTGTCACTAAATGCGCTGTGATACATAGGCAAAAAGTCAACTTGGCCCCTAAAAAAATCTTCAATGGCCCCTAAAAATCGAGCTTGATGTGCCACATGGCTCCTGAACCTCCAAGGTGAGTTTCGAACACTGCTCCCCGTTCACGGCATTTCTTTCCCGGGGTCACGGTCGAAAAGCACTCCGGTGGTTTTGGTTTTGCCGGAAAGAAATCCCCACTCACTATCACCCCGGACGAAATTACGAGGCCCACCCTGTATTTTTGCGAGTGTGTGCGCGCCAGGTTAGGGTGGTCCAAACTGGGCAACTTTGGAAAATGAACCCAGGCGCCCCCTTTTGTTCCTTACCATCCAAGTATGTTACCTGCCAAATATTTTCGTTCTCCGACAATATTAACAGGTGCCGCTGTGAGGCTGAAAACCTCCAAAAGAATTACATTGATTTAAATGGGGCGAAAGTGGGCCAATCCTTGGTATTTCGTTTATCGGTTTTAAAATGCACCTAAATGAAAAAACTAGGTACTTAGAGGCCTATTGTGAATGAGAAAATCACACATCCGACCGGCNGGGGGGGGGGGGGGGGCACGATGGAGCGGATTCATTGGCGCCTCACATTTGGTTCCAGAGCCCGATCTGGGGGGCTTTAATTCGAAAAAAAAATAATTTTTTGAATAAATGAAAAACAGCACTCTGGTCGACACTACATACTAATGGTGTGAAGGAATATTGCTTTGAAAATATGAAGTATTCAGCAAAATCCAGGTGGAGCCGGAAGAGGCTCAAAACGATACTCCTCCTTTCAAGTTGTCCTCATTTGACACACTCAAGTATATTCCTGCCAAATTTCATGTTTACAGGTAAATTAGAGCGCCTGACAAATGAGATAATAGGAATGAGCTTATGGCGGCCAAAATACGGGGAACCATGGGGGATCCAGCTTGGGTCCCGATGGATTTTCGTTCCGAGTACCTTAATTACATTTTCAATAAGTTTCATGCTGGTAGCCTAATTTGAACTATTAGGGTGATTTTTGACCCTATAAGCGACCCAACTATCACCTCCTCAATGCTTGAAAGCTTGCAAGATCATTTTGGCTAAAAAATTATTTTAATTTTACGACCCCTCAAGTAAACCAGATTAAGCGACGATGAAACTGCAAGGACATACAAGTAAGTATTTTGATTTCCGAGTTCAAAATTTCCCAAAGTAACTGATTTCCATCCTTGCATATAATTTCTTTTTTAAACCTTCAGAGTAAGTTCTACCTAATTATTTTTTATTTAATATAATTTTTTCTTGAAAAAAAAAAAATATTATTTTCTGGTGAGTATTTTGCGGTGAGAAAAAATATAATGCCTTTTTGTAACAAGTTAAATATGAGCAGTTTAATTTTTTGCTCTTAAAAGAAAATATTGACTCAGGAGTTCACAACTTCGAAAACTGAGCTACGTATTTTCTAGTTTCACTCTCCAGATATGACAACATCCAATAAGGTTGAGGAGACTTCATTCATTAAATAGAACTTTTAAAAAGACTCTATTTAATAGTAAAAAAAAAAAATTATAAGAAAAACTGTGGAGATATTATTTAATTTATCTGTGTAAGTATAATTATAAAATGAAGAATAGATCGAAAGTGACTGAGGTAAGTAAAATCTAAGAAAACTTCATTTCATACAAAACAAATTTTATTCATCATTGTACAACTAATGCTAAAAATACAGGTAAATGAAACTTTAAGACTAATGGACGATTTGGAACATTTTTTAGGCTCATTATACCTGGATTTTATATGATAAAGTGGACTAATTTTTCAAACTTAAACTATAAATATAGAGAATTTTCTAATTCATTAAGAAAAATTAGGGAGCACCGTAACTCATGTTACAATGTCATCAAAATTTATTTTGATTCCTGGGTACATAAAAAACTTAAACTAACATATTCCAATCTTTAACGGTAATGACTTAAGGCAAACTTAATTGGAAGCTTACAGGAGGACAATGGAAGCTAAGGCATATCTGATAAACCATAATATCAATTTTAAGGAAACAATCAGTCATTTTAACAGCATTCAATTTTCCTAACTAAAAATTAGATGCAAAATCAGGGTTGGGTAATTATCACTCAAAATCGAATTTTTAAAAAATATACAAACTGTTCTAGAGATGAAAAACCATCATTCACATCTCATAACCTGTCATGTGAGGCACTTTACGAGTCACAGAATTTTTTCCTGGTTTGGTCTTCAAAAGAAGCCTCCTTGAAAGGTGTCAAAAACTGGTTTTAAATTGGCAGCAAAAGAAAAGCTAATGAGCAAAATGACTTGTTTGAGAAAAACAACTAGGGCACCTGATAGGGGAGAAATGGGCATTGAAGCTCGTGGATCTTGAGTATTTTGAGCCGTAAAAGGTAAAAATAAAATAATTAATAGAGGCTCCTTTGATCAAACAGTAGTGCAGGCAGTATTTTCGGTGAAAATCAGCATTTTTTTTCAATTTGTTCCGCATAGCTGCAACATTACGATATTCCAACAGCTTCTGTTGAAAAATAGGTATCTTAATATTTCAACATTGCAAAAACTCCTATAATATTTTATTTTTCTGTTCGATCTGTATCCTGCCTAGTTAAAGAAAAATACCGTATGAACACTTGCACATTGTCGAATTTCCCTCTCTTAAAATATTAATTTTTGAGAAAATTTATGAATATTTCTGCTTGAAATTTTCAAATACTTAAGATCACAATACTGCCGTCCTAAGGAAAAACGCCATATGAACATTCGGAAGTTGACAAAAGTCATGCATATTTTTCCTTGAAATTCTCAGCTATTTTAGTTTAAATTGTGCATTAAATTGTCTGAAAATTTCAGAAAATAATATTCACACTTTTCTCGGTAATTTTGGTTTTTATCAGAGGAAACTTGGCAATGTCTGAAGGCTCATAAGGCGTTCTTCCTTAGCACGGCAGAATACAAAGAAAATTCCCTGACAAAGTGGACAGAAAATATTTACAAGTTTTGAAAATTCTTGTTTTATCAAAGGAATTTTGCCAGCACACAAAGGCTCCTCTTTCTTAGCATAGCGTGCTCTAGAATTGAGAGATCCCTGAAAAGACGTGAGGCTTGCAGCAAAGATCAGCACTTCCAAAACTGGAGGAATCAATAAAAAGACCGATAAATAAAACTAAAACGAATTAGATACATGTCAAAGTAAAGTCTGGATTCACCGTAAGTTTTTGCACTGTGGCTTGAACATCAGGTACTACAAATATTGGGTGAGCTTCGGGCGATGGAAAAATTATGACATACCACCATCGTTTGTGAGCACCCTTACGCTGCTGTGCTAGGAAAAAATGCTGTATGAAAATCCGGTTGTTGCCAAACCTCCCTTTCTGACAAAGCTGCCACAGAATTTAGAAAATTAAATTCCCTTCAATTTCTCTGACTTCCCCGACCCTTTTTGTGAAATTCCCTGACAATTTTAGATATGACAGATGGTTAAACATACATAATTTGAGATAGTTTTCACGCAAAATTTGTTGTTGGAAATGTCAAACCCATTCTAGATAGCAAATAAAGGTGACTTAACAATTTTCCCCTGAACTTTTATCATTTTCCCTGACGTTTCCAGGTTTCCCTCATTTCTTCAAATTTCCCAGTATTCTTTGACTGTAACAACCTCATTCTAAAACATTCATTTTGAAAGAGCTAAGAATATTTTTTTTTAAATTTTCACACGCTGCAGATTCGATTGCGACTGAATATCTCTGATGAATTGAGAGAAAAATATTCACAAGTTTCCTTTAAAACTCTTATTTTATCAAAGGAAATTTGGCGACATCTGAAGGCTCATAAAGCGCTTTTCCTTAGTACATCAGCACAATGATCAACTTCTAGACCACACATCAGCACTTAAACACATAAAAATATCACATTCATAGGGTTTGGAATGAGGCTGCTTCACTGAGATTATCATCCACGGTTAAAAGTGGCCTCTTGTCTTCTTTTGTTGATTTTTTTGTGTTAGGTTTCCTAACTTTGCGGTTGGTAACAAAACAGTCATCGTCCATCATCCGCACTATTTGCGTTTGGTCTGACGAGTCGATGGGCGCGATGGAAATATCTCGGACGGCACGAAATTTACCACAGTTGTTCAAGTGCTCGTTTTCCAACCGGAAAAAGTTCCACACAAAACGCCTGCAAAAAAAAAGAAAGCCCTGAATCATGCATTCACTTAAAGTAATCGCAGAGCATTTTTTCCTCCGCAATAGAGAAACAGAGCTATTCTTGGAATACCAAGAAAATTGGTGCCGACTAAAATTCGAGATTTTTTCATTTGACGTTGTTTTATGATCTGCTTAAAATGACCTTTTAAAATTGAACTTTTAGAGTGTCAATCTTGAGAAAATCAGGTTTCAAAAGCGCGTTTTCCAGCAGTCCAGCTATTAAGCAAGACCTGATGATTACATTATCTGTGCTGTACATACATACTAAATTCTCTTTCTAAAGGCACAAGCAGTTGTTATTTCAGTTCTTTTTACCTACTTGACAAGTGACATACATTAACTACACACCTGAAAACTTCGAGCGGTGCTGTTATGGTGGTCATCATTTCAGCAGACACATAACCATGATTTGTCAGCCAAAAACTGTAAAGCCAGGTAAATCTCAGGATGAAGTCTTCTATGATTGCAAAATAATAGAAAGCCTGAAAAAAGGAACAAGAGTCAGACTTTTTCCATCATTAGGCGGGTTACTAGTCCCACTGAGAACACAGGAAAAACTCAAAGTCACTTATTTTTAAAATAGTTGCATTCAAAATAAAAATTAGTTAATAGGATAGGTAAAAACATTTTTTTCTTTTTGAAAATCACTGGGAGTTAGATAGAGGGTTTTTGAATAATTTTTTGCGCTAAATCTGAAAATGACCTTGGGCTGAAAAATGTCTTTCTAGGTGCTAGAAACCTTGAGTTTTTGGAGAATATGATTCTCTCGCAAATAAGTGAGTCATGGAGAAAAACTAACGTCATTTTTAGCTTTAGCAGAGGAAAGTAGGCAGTAGTGCCATTAGACACCTGGATAAAATTGTTTTCAGGGACATAGTAAAGCCAATTTTGCAGCGCAGTGCACAACAAAATGTGACCTCCAGTAAGTTACGTTGTACAAATAATGTTCTATGCAAATATTTTCTTAGAACACATATTGTAATGCTTAAATTTTCACCTAGGCTAGTAGTTCTTTGATTTTCTAACATAACTGAAACACGACACACTCTAAAATTCCAGGAATAAGTTAGCAGACAATGAAAATAAGAAACCAAATGATTAAAATTGTAACAGTACAAGGTAACTCACAGAGCTTGAGTAAACAGTTTCTTCCCGCAGTAACTGATACTCTGCGCTAGAGAGATCAAACAAACCCCAATCCATCTTGACATCCCAAATGTAAGCATACAGAGAGTTGACAATGCAGGCACAAACCCAGCAGTAGAAAAAAGGGTTTAAAGTAATGTCAGAGTAAGAACCTGAAAGAAAGAGGAATGAAATATTGGGAGAAATGACTCAGTATCATGTGAAATGATTGAGGAATGAGGAGCTTGAAGCTTTTGGACCTCTGATTTGTTAAACAGAGAAGCCTACTTTCACTATAATTTTAAAGTAAATTTTTGAACACGCAACTACTCCTCCATCAATCATCTCATGTTTGGTTGTTATTATTTTTTTCTCCGAATGTATGGGCAGCAACCTCCGAAGGTAACCAAGAGTCATTTGCGGTTCGATGGTGAAACTCCCAAACCCACGTATCTCGGTTTGCAACGTTATAGACTTCCTGTCATACTTTACCTCTTTAATGGAGAATTACTGAACATGAATTCTGAAAAACTTGCGTGATTTTTCTTCTCTGTGCAAGGTAAATTCTGAAAAAACGTCAAGGAATGATGTTGATTTGTTCTCCTCTAAGAACATAAAATAGGAGAGGAGATTTTTAAACACCGCAAACGAGATACGTGGTTAGGGAGTTTCCTGTCGAGTTCCCAAAAATAGGACAGTATATTTTTTCATATGAATACGGTTGTACACATTCTCTTGAATCTTCAAGGAATTTCCACTATGACTTGAAATAGAGCAAAGTTCCAGAAATTTTTGAAAGAGTTGGTAGAATTGTCCTTTGGTGGAAAAAAAAATAAATAAATAAATTGCACTATAGAATTTTGCAACTGCTGATGTCACTTGGTACATTTTTGAGAGACACTACCCACAATAATCTTGTGTTCTTTAGCAGATCAAGAGGGTTTAAACACCGGGAGCCAAAAGTTGATCAGATGGTTAAAGAATGAATACTTACAATGGATAAATGAATATTAAACCTAGTGACAGAATTAACAATTAAATAATCGGCTTGATTTGTGCATTATTTGAATAATTAACTGACTGGCCGTCACCAAAGTTAAGACTTTTATTTTTTAGATGATCGGTGGTAAATTTAAGGGTAGTAGATCTTCTCGGAGAAATAAAATTAAAAATAAAAATATCAGTTACCTGAGGTCCTTGCCAAAAGAGTTTGGAAAATGACTACAAAAAAAGTGGAAGCATATTTCATGGCATTGGCAATGTGCGGAAAGGCTTCTCCAGAATCATAGTACCGCCTGAGACATTGTGCAAATCGAATCCATGCTGGAACGCAGTTAACAATGGCCCTTGACAGCCAGTAATTATCAAAAGAGGGATGAATATCTGGGAACAAGAGCAACATACTTCAAATTTGCGGAAAACTTTAAGCAAGAAAATTTAGAACAAAAGGCAATTATCGAAAAAATCTTGCATTTTAAAAGGTTCAAACTTCTGAGTTAATGTCATTGAATAAACTTAAAACATATCCAGAACTGAACTCTAATGGGTCACACCCTGGAACACTCCATCATTCCAGATATCATAAGAACTAATTCTCCTTCATTTAGAAAAATTGGTTGGTGTCAATAGTTTTTCATTTAAAAATTATTTCATGAGTTTTATGAACTGGGATATGGAAAAGCGCACTTCATACCACTTTTTTATGACATCTCAAAAGCAACAAAAATTGAGACATGGGTTTTCAAAATTCAGCATTCAGGAATATTTTTTAAAGAAATGAGGTCTGACAGGTAATTGTTATTCTGTTGAATATGAATTGCCATCTTTAAATTCCATGCAATAACAAGAAAAAAAGTTAAAAGAAAAGAAATCAAGAAAACATAGTCGAAGAGAAAGTTCAGGGAACCTGTGTCCCTTCTCTGACCCAAAAATTTCCCTCAAGAAGATTATTTTTTGGACATATTTTTCATTACATCATGGACGACTTTTTTCTTCGGACTCCTCTTTGAGAAAATTTTTAATCTCTGACCCCTCCTCTTCAGAAAATTTCCGGCTATACTTTAGCGAGGGAATCAGTAATATTTTTCATCATTTCTCAAAATTTTAATGGCCCTTTTGCCGTCAGTGATCAATCAAAAAAGTATGACACAGTCTACCCAAACTGTGCACTTAAAAATGGATTATAAAAATTTCTACTATGCTTGATAAGATTTTCCTTTGGCAATTTTTCCACAATAAAGTCTGCGTAATTGCCTGTACCTTTCAAGACAACAGACCTATTCTTCTCGGTCCAGTACATAAAATCTCATACTGCTTTAAAAACTAGCTAAAATTTTTTTTAGTCTGAAGAGAAGTTTGAAAATAGCACAAGAAGACAGTAAATACCTGCAGAAGACATCCAGTCAGTAGACGTAAAGTAAAAACAGACTAGAAAATGGAAATCAAGGAGTACTGTTGCGAGACTGTTCAGCTGATCAGCCAGCCAGAAATCTGCGAAACCAACATGATAGAATGGGGCTAGAAACATTCTCCACTGAAAAAAAAAAATGTGAAGAACAGTTTATATATCATCATGATTTCACCGAGTACTATAAAGGCAACAACTTTAAGTTTTTTGATTATTTAAAGTAGCAAATCGCATATTTTACTACAAGATGGGTAACTTGCCTCTCAAGTTTAAAAAACAAGTTTAGCACTTAATTTTTGTTTCTTTGTAGTTTTCCTGTTTGTTTTCTATTTTTGCTCTTTTGGTGAAAAGGGCAAGTACTTTGATTCATAAGCAGAAGTTATCGGTATTCTTTTTCCAGGATAGGGGGGGGGGGGGGGCGGAGGGAGAAGAAGGAAAATGAAAAATTTGCTTGAAAGGAGGGCAGTTGTAATTTCTAACAGAATTTCTAAAATACATCAAATTTTCAAGTCTTGAGGTAGAAGAAAGTCCCACCCTCCTAAACTTACACTACTGAAAATATTAAAAAAATAGAGTTATTTTACAAACTCTAGAATCCTCTATTAAAAACTTCACATGCAACATTTACAAATAGATTCTACACGTCCTCCGTCCGAACTACTCTACACTTACTGCTGATAAGCATTGATGGAACAACACGAACTCTTCAGCATTTCTCTGTTTTTGAGCTAGTTAATCGTGTTTTATTACGCATGGAAAAATGAATCAAAGTACAAGAGAGAGAAACTTACCAAGACTTTAATACACCAAAATCTAGCGCCGGACTGGAATGTCCTCAATGGATTTAAAAAGAAGAAAGCCATGACAAAAACTAGAATGATGGGGTTCAGGTACTGCGGTATGCTCAGAGAGTTGCTATACAGAAAACAGAGGATACTGAGGGCCCAAATGACTCCGAATATTGTTGCCAGCTCCATCAGATGTTGCTCAGTTAGATGATTTCGGGGATCCAACTCGAAGATCAAGACGTGGTTGACACCGGACGATCTCCAGCCGTAAACGTTGACCCCGATGAGAAATAGGAACATTATCAACAGAAGTGGTGCTCGGTAGAGTCTAAACACTGTGGCTAGGCCTTGATAACTGCTCTGATGGTATAGGGCTGGAAAAAGAAAGAATACTTAAAATTACAAAAGAAGTTGAGAACTAGGGGGTCTCCCTAGCCGCCAGGCAGCCCAGTCCTGACGAGCACATTGTGGCAAACGAAAACCTGGGCCATGATTTTGATCATCTCTATTGTATGCTAACAGATAAGGAATCATGTAAATCAGCTCGGTAGATTTCTGAAAAACTTGGAGAGAAAAGAGAATTACAAAGCTAGATCTCTCATGGTAATGACACTCGATTTTACACTTTACATGACCGGTTAGCCTGTTCAAGATGGTAGAAAATTTCAATTATTTTATTCTTTTTTTTTTAAATGAGGAGAAAATATAAAAAAAAATTTGAAGTTAAAATTGAGGTACAAAAATGGGGCATAGACTGCAGCTATTCACAGATGTAACCAGTGACAGAAGAGGAATTATTTCAGATTAAAGTTTCAATTCTGTTTTCAACCTAATCTCTTTTTTATCCTGCTCAAAGCGCTCCCTACTTATTTCAACATCCAAGGTTTGACTGTGTAAGTCTGCTCAATTATAGGTTAACACGGTTGTCCAAAACATGTCTAATGAAAGTCAACCCTGCAGAGGAACTGAAACTTTCTATGCTGATCCTTAAAAACGTATTTCACGGAATCAGCAGGCCAGTAATTTTTTACATTTTATAACACAAACAAGAATTTTCGCCACTTCACCAGCATAAGTTGGTTCAATATTTTTGATGCGCAGTTTTTGATAACGTTCCCATCTGATTTTTGGCACTTTTATGAAACACTTCCACCTGTGCTTTGTAAATGGAAAATAATTAACACACATGTATGAATGAGAGTGTGAATAAATGGCGAAAAGAAGAGTGTATTAGGTAATTAAACTACATAGTAAACTCATACTTTTAATTTTTCCAAAAAATAAAAGACAGAGAATTTCATATTTCCTGTTTTTTAGATGCTTTTATTATTTAACATTACTTTGTTGCTTAATACCTTCGAAAATTTAATTCAATTTAATTCATGTAGATAGGTACGAGGCATATTCTCGTAATAGTTACGTTATTTTTAAATGAAAGTATTCAAAGGAAAAAAGAATAAATAGATAACACATGCTAAAATTATAATGTGTGGCAGCTCCTTAGATGCATTTACGGCTACGAGGAGGAAAATGATAGAGTAAAAACCAAAAGATTTTTAGGATAAACAATAATTACCAGATAAAATAACAGCACAAAAAAGAACTAGGAAGGAACCAGAAAAGAGACCAACTTTGAAAGTAATCCACGGACTCTGCTGTTCGCCCAGTGGAGGAACCCTCAACCTTTTCATCGCCTTCTGCCGGTTTCCGCCCTCAAGTTCTTGGGTGACTGTGTTTTCCGTCTCTGTGATGAGGCGACTGATTTCATTGTTCGTATGGAAATGGGCCGTCTCCATGCAGAGTTTCCACCACTTGGAGCCGGTGTCCACGCGCAGGAGCTGACAAATATTCAAGAGAGCTATGAATGATACAATCAAAACCAAAAGTAAATATCTTACAGAGTAATTTTTACATGGTGACGTTAAAACATGAGACAAAAAAGTTCTTGCGATTGAATGGACCATTAGACAGGGTGAGAAATTAAGCACTACAGCACATGTTTTCTCATCATAATTTCATGCAAAACATGTTGAATATGTCAGAAACCTCCAAAGTCAACTCATGAAAGAGAAACAAATATTCATAGGTAGTTTACATTGTAAACTGTAAAATTAAATAGGTTTGGAAAAAAATCACAATCAATGTACACTAAGTAATTAGGCATTGACGTCAATCTACACGATAAAAAAATGACTTGCTTTAACACACATTTTTTTCGTCTTCTGACACAAGATACCTTTAGCCTTGTCAAGGAAAAATTATTAAACAGGAAGATAATTCTATCGTATAAATTATAGTTAACAGACACTCGTTAAATGCTCGATTTGACTTGGGTAGACAGCTTTTTATTTGTGACAGGAAGTTTGAATTAATGTGGAAAGAGCCGTTGTATTCTCTTTTATGAGTTAAATTTGGAGAGTTTTGCAGCGTCCATGAGTCGTTTCCTATGTAAGATTTTGAAGAGAAAACATAAGACGCTTCCTTTTAGTTCAGACTTGTCTAGTCATCCATTGGAGGGGTTTTAGCCTTTGTTACGTAGAAAAATAAAAATTCCTCCTCAGACGACCTCTGTACTTAAAAAAATAATTGTTGATAAAAAAGTTTATAACAAACACTCAAAAGACAAAATTCCCAATATCCATCTCTAAATTTAAGAGAGACACATTTGATAACATTTAATCAATAAACTAGTCAATAACATCTTGCAGTCTAAAATTAATTTATTTTTTTAAAAGAAATGCCTTTAGCTAGAAACAATTCTGAGCATTCTAAAGTTGTCTGTGTTTTCAAACGTATGGCAAGTTCCAATGAGGAAATCCAAAATGAGCTTTATGTGCTCATAAATATAAGCATAAATTGTGAGTCTAGACAGTTTTAATTAGATGGATTATGAACTTTTAAAAGTATTTTGGAAGATGAAACTCACCTTGTCATGCTTCTTTAAGATTTTCCTAAATCCTACATAATTGAGAGTTTGATAACTTTGCAACAGAATGAGACTTAAGTAGTATTCACTGAATGCCAATTTGAGCTCTTGCAGTTTCCTGGGAGGTATATCGTTCCCTGCCCCGCTTGTCACATGCTTTTTTTTACCTAGCTCGAGGGCTGCTTTCAACTCAACGCACAAAGATGCGTATTTGCGAGTTGCCTCAGCAAGTTTTTCTGTGGACAGCAACAAATCAAAATTAACACTCCCTGGAAAGAAGTACATAGATGGACTTAGTTTGGCAATTAGGAACGACAATGTCAGGCTCGGTTCAGAAATAACGTATGCACCATTAGTTTCCCTCTGCACATAAGTGTTTTTAAGGATGAGCCAGAAATTGTAGTCTTGATTGCAAAATGTAGTCCAATTCTTCTTCACATTCTGGAGAATGCTGGCACCTTTGAAGACATACCAAGAAAATAGAGAGAATGTTTATGAAAAGTAGGATGTTTTGATGTCTTCGACAGGAAAAAAAACTAACCAACTTTCGAAATTAAATTTTTCGTTTTTCAACAAAAAAACGCTTGTGCATCTTCTTTCTGCTGATCATTCCATTTTTTATAAAATATATCAATGGCTAAATTAGATAAAAACTCATATCCATTGGCAATGTTTCAAAATATCCAATTAGGTTTAATTCTTTAAACAAAACTAACCATAACGTCACTTTGCAATTTTCAGAGAATCTGAAAATACGCTAAAAAAAATCCACAGAAAATTTCAAGAAAAATTGTTGATTTGTTTGTTTGTTTGTTTGTTTTTTTTTTGAAAAAAAATGCGATGATTTGCAACGCGTCATTGATGTAGAGATTGACTGGGAATTAGATCATACTTTTTTACTTACTTTTCTCTGATTCATGTAGGAGACATGCTTATTAGAAAATCATGGAAGAAATAAAGGAACAAATCGTTCAGGATTAAAAGAATACAGCACAATTTAAAGACCTTGGATATGATTGCTTCTAGTTTCAGTGGTAGGTATGAAACTTCAAAGGTCAGAAAGGAAGGAAAAAAGAACGCAAATTTAAGTTTCACCAGTGGTATGGACTAATACTGTACTGTACATACTAACAGTTATAAGAAGTAATCATTGTATAGATACAAAGGAAGGGACCATTATTAAAATACAAGTTCATCCTAAACGTTCCTCAAAAATTTAAACTCCAAAAAGCAAGACAATGGTTTTCTTAGAAATAATAAGTTCATCATTACTAAAAACATAAAAAAATTAATTCATAACAAAAGAGAGTCGGCTGCTAATGATATACAGAAATTAAGTAGAAGTAATAAATTACCTGCGTAAAAGACGTTGATTTTCTGAAGTTCTTTGTCACAATATAGGAAGAAATTCTCATCAAACTGACTGAAGTGCCTTGTGATGATTTCTGGTTCAACAGATTCTGGAGAAGGGGCTTCCTCTATCACTTTACTCAACATTAATTTCATTTCCTGTGAATTCAAAACAAAGATTTTTAGGACACAGAAGGGATTTCTTTTAAATACAAGTAGGATACCTTAACTTAAAATGCGGTAAAGGATTTATGATGTAATGCATAGAACTTCTAGTGTGAAAACCTGCTCCACCGCAAAATATCCACCAACCAATTGCAGTGAACGCACATGTCGTAAGACGAGATGTTGGAGTTTTTTAGCCAACGTGCGTAAAAAATTCAACTAAAAGCTAAAAACTCATTAGAGAGGGAAAAAGCTCACACACAACCAGCTCGAGCTTGGTAGCAGAAAATTCAGGAGGCTGCACTGCACTGAGGATTGGCCCAACAAGGCTGAAATGCGTCTGTAGTTGCCCTCCTGAATGGACGTAACTAGTGTTGCTCCAAACAGCATATCTCTTTGAGGGAAAATTGTGCTTGTGTGTGAACTTTTTCCCTCTCTAATGAGATTTCAGCTTTAAATTGAATTTTTTACGCACATTGGCTAAAAAAACTCCGACATCTCGCAAAATATCCAAGACAAATGTCAACTGACATTCATTCAAGTTTTACTACAAATTTTTTGTGGCTGGTAAAAACTGAATGGACTTTTCAGTTGATATTTCATTCGGATATTGTTCTAAAGATGAGGTGGAAAGGAAGATATTGAGCCAATACAGTATATTTTGTAGGTTTCGATGAAACAAGTTTTGTGGAGGATAATTTTTGCGCAGAGCTGAGTATCAGTAGGTGGTAGTAATTCAAGTAGCAGCAGTATGTGTATTCTTAAGGAGTAATTCTTTCAAAAGTTCAGGAAAAAATCTGAAACTTACATCATAATTTATGTACTGCTTCCTCCATTCCGGAGTGATGTGGGCGGACAGATGCTCTGCAAACTTCATCTTGATTTAGTTCTGAGGAACAGAAAAAACGGGGAAAAATTAGGTGCACTATCAGCAACTGAAAATACAAAAATAAAAAATTTGCCAAATTTCCCTTCGCAAATTGCGTTTTTTATCCTGAGATTCATGCACATTTCCAACTAACAAGTTCACCGATTTTTCTTCGGACTCCTGCAAAAATCAGCAGAATTTTGGACAAAAATCAGCAGAATTTTGGACAAAAATCAGCAGAATTTTGGACAAAAATCAGCAGAATTTTGGACAAAAATCGCATAGGTATATGCTTGAAAAAAAGTTAAATTTTTGGGTTAAATTCGCAACCTTGGAGAGAAGTTACGATCCTTCGCCCGGTAAACGGCAAAATATGGCAACGTTGCAATATAGTAATCCCCTCCTGGCTCCGAGGGCCCGCAACGTCATTGCCCTGAACATGCGTAACATAAAACATAACATGCGTCACGGATTAAGGAAAGGCGAAATTGTGCTTAAAATAAAATGAGAGCGATGGAAGGAAACAAGAGAGGGAGGGGGAAAGGGGGAGGGGGCACTTAGTACGTCATTACAATGAAAATATATGCGTTCATTAATTCACGCAGGGCCCGTTGTCGAAAGACGGACGTGCGCGCTGGATTGCGGACTAATTGCGGAAAAACAACGTAAGAACTTCCAGGCGTTGCCAAATTTCTTTAGATAAAATTAGCAATATTCAGAAAACTTGTGAACGATTTTCTCTTAAGATTTTCGGATCTAAGACAAGGAATCTAAGGCATGGGAAAGTTTTGTAAAAATGTATCCAAGAATTGAGGTTGCTCGTGGACGACGTCAAGTACCGCAAGCTAATCGCGTTCAAATAGATAGACAAAGCGATAGACTAAGGAGACCAAGGGAGAATGGAGCAATCTTATTGCTGGAAGCGGGTGGTTGCAATGGAAAAAGGAGCTAAGTAATAGACTAACTAAGGGCAATCCACGGGAGATCCTGTAACTAGTCCATCATTTCCCCCTTAATCTGAAACAACCACCCGTTTCAACCAATAGGAGCACTTCATTTTTCCTTTGTCTATCACTTTGTCAATCAAGTTCAATAATCAGCCAGCTGGAGGGATGGAAGAGCATGTGTGGTGGTTGCGTAGCAACAAAGGGAAGGGGCTTCTTTCAAATTCCCTGAAGTTTTTTAATGGTTTTCCAGACGAAATGGAATTTCCCGTGTTTCCTCGATAGCCTAGGAGCATGGTGCGTTAGAATTATTGATTGTTTCATTCTTCTATTTTTCCTGCTCTCCTGGAAAAACTTCCTTGAAGAAACTCGAGGGTTTCCTTTCATAAATCCTCTGAAAAAAGGCCGAAGTTCGAGGGGGGGGGGGGGATCAACTTTTCGAACTGATCCCGCTCCCCGGCAAATTCCTTGATTTCCCATTTTCCTGATGAATCCCGGGAAATCCAGGTTGATACTATCAGGGACGTAGATTTTTCCCCACTACACGACCTGTTACAATATTAAAATTTCGATTTATTTCAATTTTTTTTGGATGAATTTCAATTAGAGGAGCCCCTTCAATCGGTGAATAGATAACACACATAACACTCCGGCACGACAGCAATAATCTATTCACAATGTAACTGCGGTTAAAAATCAATGGAAATAAAAAGTCTCCTGTATCCTGAGCCCAGACTTATAAAAACTTTGAGAAAGAAAAATACTCTCGATTCTAACGGATTTTTGCTCGAATCAAAGGGATTTCAGCTTGAAATAAAAGGCTTAGCTCTGGATTCAAGCGAAAATCCGATTGAAACAAGAGTATTATTGCTCGAATCAAAGGGATTTCCGCTTGAAATAAAAGGCTTAGCTCTCGATTCAAGCGAAAATCCGATTGAAACAAGAGTATTATTGCTCGAATCAAAGGGATTTCAGCTTGAAATAAAAGGCTTAGCTCTTGATTCGAGCGAAAATCCGATCGAATCAAGGGTATTTTTCCTCGTCAAAGTTTTTTCCCGGTGACTGGGATCGGTGCTACGTGGGCGTGAACATTTCGTCCGTTTCGAATACTTTATCAACGAGAATCCGGCAACGTTCGAATGCCGATAGGACGTTCTTATCGCAGGAAATTTGGACGGCGGGGGTGGAGGAAATTTACAAGCGCGAAAAGCGACACACCGGTGGATTTCCTGGCACGCGCGCGCGAAAGCGAGCGAACCGCTGAAAAAGCGGTAATTCGGATCCGGGCCGTTTGCCGGTGTCACCCAGTGCCACGCGATTGTTTACGCATTTTTCTGCGGAGACCCGCGCGGCCCTAAGTTCGGACCAAATCCAGGGTTGCATGCGTGAAATGAAAAATCTGAAAGATTGGAAATTTCCGTGAAATATTTCATGAAATTTCACGAGACTGTGAAAAATGGCAAAATTTTCAGGGGTTAGAGTATGCAATCCGCGCGCAAATACACAACAAATAGAAGACAGAGACAATTTTTACATTTTGCGAAACATGAAAAGGAACTGGTATTTTTCAATATTTTTCATAAATATCTGAAATTTCATGAAATATTTCACGCAAAATTTCAAAATTTTATTTTTCATGAAAAATTGCAACCCTGACCAAACCGCGCATCACCAATTTTCCGCCTTCCATGGCAGAGGCGGATCCAAGGGGGGAGGGGGGGAGGGGGAATGCCCCCCCCCCCCCCCGCCCTTAGACCGAAAACGGAAAAAGAGTAGGAAAGAGGGAAAGGGAGGAAAAGAGGGGAAAGGGGGTAACGAGGGAGAGAAAAGAAAGTATTCCTTAAAATTTACTGAAATGGTCTTCCGACCGAACTGTACGACCAAAGTTTACCAAACCAAAGGGTACTCAACACCGCATAAATAAACAGTCCATATACTAAAATAAAATTACACCAGAAGAGGTACTGTTCGTCAATTTTCAACTTTCAAATAGTGCACAAATTTTATGCTAAAATTCCTTAAGTTCGCCTTCAATTTTGATGCATACCCACCAACGAGCCCGAATAATACACATCCGAAAAACGTATTCATAAAGCTCCATAAACTTTGATTAGACCAATACCTAAACGACTTCGTTCACCTAAGCGGCCGCGCTAAGGCAGGACGCCGTATGAACATCCGAGAGTTGCCGAACTTCCATTACTAAAATATTTTTTTTTTTTACGAAGAATATGAATATTTTGCCTTGAAACTTTCAAGGACTTCAGGTGAAATTGCGAACAAAATTATCGGAACAATGGACCACTAGACAAGGTACGAATTTAAGCAATCTGATACATGCTTCTTAACCAGAATTTCACGTAGAACACGATTAGCGCAACGAATATTACTGAAACTAACTCCTAACGAAGATTTCAACGTTTTTATTTCACATTGATTACGAGGAATTTGAACTGCCCGCTCACAAGAAACTCAAAGCTCTACTCGAGTCAAATCGCGCGCTACAACGGTTTCAGCAAGCTTCTCCATCGAGCAATGTTCATTTCCCATTATATGTTGTTCAAAACACAAGAAATTTGCTATGGCTGAGCCAAACCGTCAAGATTGAGGTTTCCGGATTTTTATATTGCAGAGACTATCATGATGAACGTTTAGCGCGCGATGTGAATCACGTAGAGCATTGAGTTTTCATGAGCGGGCGGTTTGAATTCACGCATCATGAATCATTAAATATCTTTGTAAGGAGTTGAATTCTGTAATTTTTGTTGTGCACATCGTGTTTTACGTGAAATTTTGGTTGAGAAACATGTATCAGAATGCTGAAATTCGTACCTAGTCTAGTGGTCCATTGGAAGGAAAATATTCATGAATTGATCAGGAAATTCGTCTACCGTCGTTCTATCAAAGGAAATTTGGCAGCGCCGGAAGGTCCATACGGCGTTCTTCCTTAGCACGGCAGTATGGGTGGGTATCGTGTACCTAAAGTTCGCCTTCAATTTTGCTGAATAGGCAGAATACCTACCGAAGAGCACCTAACGCCTTTTTCTTGAATGTTCGCCATCAAAATGATGTTTACCACCTCTGGTGCGAGACTCAAAAGCCTCAACCAAACAGGGTACTCAATGTATGACACCCGCATTTCTTAACTTTCGAGAGCTGAGTAACTTTCACAAAAACAAATGGATCGCTGATTTAACAATTAAATTGATAAAATTATACGTCCGACTTGTTTCAAATGTACATTTTACAATAGTGGAAAGCTAATTTACCCACGGGGTACTTAAATTAGTATTTTTTCAATTGTAAAATCTACATTGAAACATGTCGGAAACTTTTTTCTAACTACAAAATTGTTAAATCAGCAATCCATTTTTGTCAGTGTTGTTACTGGCTTCCCTCTCTTTCCCCAGACTTTTCAGGCAAACATTTGAAGGGGGGAGGGGGTCGCTTGCCACTTATCAGAGGACAATTTAAAAAAAAGTCAACGGAAAGCTTTTTTACTTTGGCTCTCGATGGGACATTTTCCAGCCCCATCCTTGAGTGACCTCGAGGCTCAGATGACGGTTGGTTTGTTATTTTGCGATCGATACAGAAATTGCGAATGCTGCATTTCCGTCCAACTTGGAGACTCCCTTGTGACAAGACAAGTTCGATTGAATTATTTTCATCTCACGCGAGACCCGTGGGTAGGCGATAAATACTGCCGTGCTAAGGAAAAACGCCGTATGAACATTCGAGAGTTGTCAAATTTCCTTCGATAAAATGTTTATTTTTGAGTAAAGATATGCATATTTTCCCCTGAAATTTTCAGGTAGTTTAGGTGAAATTGCGAACAAAATTATATGAAAAATTGGATGGAAAATATTCAGAACTTTACCAAGAAATTTTTGTTTTATCAAAGGAAATCTGGCAACGCCTGAAGGTTCATACGGCGTTTTTCCTTGGCACGTCAGAATAGATATCTCATCTTTGAAATAGAGAATTTGCAGGTGTCTGAAATTTGATAAATTTCGTGTTTAAGTAGAAACTACTGAATGGACCGAACACGAGGATACCCTTGGTTCAAGAATGGAACAA